CTATTTAGAAATAAGCATTAGAAGGCTGAGCGTGGTGGCTTATGCCTGTAATCCCAACACTTTCGGAGGCTGAGGCAGGCGGATCACCTGAGGTTAGGAGTTCAAGACTAGTCTTGTGAACATGGTGAAACCCCCATCTCCACTAAAAATACAAAAATTATCTGGGTGTGGTGGCACATGCCTGTAGTCCCAGCTACGTGGGAGGCTGAGGCAGGAGAATCACTTGAACCCAGAAGGCAGGGGTTGAAGTGAGCTAAGATTGTGCCACTGCACTCCAGCCTGGGCAACAGAGCAAGACTCCATCTCAAAAAAAAAGAAAAAAAGCAAAAGAAAAAAGGAAATAAACATTTGACTACGTAAAAGATACAATCTTTTGGGTGACAAAAGATGCCATCAACAAACTCAAGAGATAATAGATTGTGGAGAAATATTTGTAGAGCTGATCAGAGAGAAGGCAGTCACCAAATGGACAGGGAAAATCCCAATAGCAAAACGTGGCAAAGAATATGAGGCAACAATTGTGAGAAGAGCAAATCTAAGTGGCCGATGGACCTGTCCAAAAATGTTTATCCTCAGTAGTCATTGGGGGATGCAGATTTAAAGTTAAAATCAAATAACACTATGTGACAGCATTTTTAGCTATCAGAACAAAAGATGTTATACACTGCTGGTGGAGAAATAAATTTTGAAAAACAATGCAAGTTACTCTTTTGGAAAGAAATCTGGTAATATTTAGGCTGGGCTCAAGCCTGTAATCCTAGCACTTTGAGAGGCCGAGGCAGGCAGATTGCCTGAGGTTAGGAGTTCAATAACAGCCTGGCCAGCATGGTGAAAACCCTTCTCTACTAAAAATACAAAAATTAGCCGGGCATGATGGCAGGCGCCTGTGATCCCAGCTACTCGGGAGGCTGAGGCAGGAGAATCACTTGAACCCGGGAGGCAGAGGTTGCAGTGAGCCGAGATTGTGCCATTGCACTCCAACCTGGGCAACAGAACGCAATTCCATCTCAAAAACAAACAAACAAAAAAAAGAAATCTGTTAATATTATTAAATATTATTAAAATACTTATGTCACTTTGGGGAATCTTCCCTTAGAAATAAAAGCCCCAATACATAAAAGACAGATGAATATGTGAACATGGACGTTTATTGTAAAGTTGTTTCTAATGGCAAAATAAACACCCAAAACCAAAGCAAACACTAGAATCAAAGTAAATACCCATCAATTGGGAAATTGGAGAAAGGAAAGAACTATAGTATATCCATTCCATAGAATGTTAATATAGCCACAAATTAAAACTATGCTAGTGGACTTGAGTGGAATTCCACAATGTTCTCCTGAGTGAAAAATGCAAGGTAGATATTAAGTGTGTTAAATATGACTCCATTTTTGTAAATCATTAACAAAATGTCTCTAGGTGTTTATCAGCAATAAGCGGTATCTATATATGTTTATTTGATTTTATGTGCATGAAGAAAAGTGTAGAAGAGTATGCATTGACTTGGAGGGAGGTGGGTAATGCAGGTAGGATATGGGGGAGTCAGGGGTGTAGGGAAAAGGAAAACCAAAAAAGAAAAATTGTTTGTGATACCACAAATGTGTGAGTTAGTAAATTTGGCTGGGGATGGGGGAGCTAGAATTTTGCTAATTTGTGGGGATGTTCATGGTATATATTGTTAAGTGAAAAGGGAAAATTTCATAATAATGTATACAATTCTATTTTTTAAAAAAGTGAAAACTCCTGTGTGTGTATATATGCATGTGGATGTTTATATGAACATAGAAACATGTAGAAAAATACACACGAAGGTGTTAACATTCATTGGTTACCTTGGTGGAGAAGGGTAATAAGTTGTCTAAATACCTTTGCATTGTCTTGTTCACATATATTGCTTTTGTAATTTGAAAAACATAAAATAAAGGGGGAAAACATTTCAAACCAAATGAAGCCTTGAAAACGTTTCCATTTTCTGACAAGACGGCACCCTGGCTTGGTCTAAGGTTGAGTTAGGGCTATGGAAATGAAGTCTTGTCACCTTTGCTGCATTCTATTAGAAACAAGTCATAGGTCCCAGCCATACTCAAAGAGAAGGAATTACACATGAGAGTAATTTCCCTCTCCAGACGACCAGGCAGCAGAGATCATTGGGGGCCATCTTGGAGTCCACCCACCCCATCAGGGAAACACTTATTTGAAAGTAGGGAGGAGGCCGGGCGCGGTGGCTCAAGCCTGTAATCCCAGCACTTTGGGAGGCCGAGACGGGCGGATCACGAGTCAGGAGATCAAGACCATCCTGGCTAACACGGTGAAACCCCGTCTCTACTAAAAAAATACAAAAAACTAGCCCGGCGAGGTGGCGGGTGCCTGTAGTCCCAGCTACTCGGGGGGCTGAGGCAGGAGAATGGTGTAAACCCGGGAGGCGGAGCTTGCAGTGAGCTGAGATCCGACCACTGCACGCCAGCCTGGGCGACAGAGCCAGACTCCGTCTCAAAAAAAAAAAAAAAAAAAAAAAAAAAAAAGTAGGGAGGAGTGAGGATGGCAACTGTGTTGGAATAGTAATTTAAGTAAGCCACATACTTGCTGCTGGGCACCATGAGTGCACAGATTCTAGATATGCTTGCTGGAAGTTCTCCACTAAACAGAATACACTGCGTGCCTACTATGAACTGGACACCGTTCTAGGATCTGGGGATAAAGCGGTAAACAGAAAGAGAAATGTTGATAATTGTCAGGAAGCAAAATGAAATAGGAGGGGAGTTAAATTTTATATGCAGTAACCAGGAAAGCCCTCAAAATGATCTCTGCATAAAGACCTAACGGAAATGAGAGATGTAATAATGCAACTGTCTAGAAAATTGTATTCTAGGCAGAGGGAACAGGAAATGCAAAAATGCAAACATCCTAAGGGAATGTGTCTGGAGTGTTGGAGACCAGAAAGGAAGGTGTATTCTTGTTGAATAACAAATTGTTCCCCAAACTTAGTGACCTAAAACGACAATAAACGTCTCACACGCTGTCTGTGGGTCAGGAATTTTGAAAGTGCCATTGGATTCACACTCCCTTTAGCTGTGGCTTCTTCCCTGTCACTCTGCCCTTCCCAAGTCTTTGTCCAAGCTATCTCTTCTCAGACCGGCACACAGCAGGGCCAGTGCCATTCGCGCTTATGGGAAGGAAGGAGTGCCCTCTGCCATGGCCTTTCTGGGTTCCTCCACCCAGCAGTGGAATCTAAGCTGTTCAGCACCTTCTCCAAAATAGTGGCGCCCAGTATACCCTACCATTCACCAGTGACAGCAGGTTGCAGACCACTACTGTCTTTCTTTTCTTTTTTTGAGACAGAGTCTCACTCACTCCAGCCCAGGCTGGAGTGCAGTGGCACGATCTCAGCTCACTGCAACCTCCACCTCCTGGGTTTCAGCGATTCTCCTGCCCCGGCCTCCCAAAGTGCTGGGATTACAGGCATGAGCCACCACACCCAGCTAATTTTTGTATTCTTAGTAGATACAGGGTTTCACCATGTTGGTCAGGCTGGTCTTGAACTCCTGACGTCAAGCAATTCACCTGCCTCGGCCTCCCAAAGTGCTGGAATTATAGGCGTGAGCCACCGTGCCCGGCCTAATGTCTTTCTTAGAACTAGCACTGTATTGATCGAGAGGAGATGCCGACAGCGATTTCCTGCAGAAGTGACAGCCTCAGAGTGGGGTTCCCACAGAAAGGATGGTAGCAGGTCAGTGTAAACTGTGTAATCCCTATCTAGAACAACCAAAACCTCGGAGTCAGAAAAAGATAGTTTGTGGGTACTGTAGGACACATCTTTGAAAATTGTCGTCCCCAGGGAGAAACAGCTAAATGGGTGCAGCTACCTGGTTTCACCGCATAGATGCAATTAATTACTCAGCATCTCATATTCTAATGGGGCGCCCTGGGCATTTGGCTACACAGCAGAAAGCCGCACCTAAGCGTGTGTGGCAGCCTTGGGGCGGGGTGGAGAGGGTTTGTAGCAGCGGCCCTGCAGCCACAGGAGAGATGTCCTTTGAGGAAACCATGGCAATGTGTGGTCTTGTGGAGAGATGGGGTTTAGAAATTGGATGCAATTGACTGAAAACGGGAAGTGGGTGGCAGGAATCGGGTTTAGGAGTTGGGGGAGGAGAATCAGTTCTGGGATGTAGTGATAAAGAAGTCCAATGAATGACTGGATGCAGATACTTGGTTTTCAATGATTCAGGAGTCCAGAGAATGCTATGATTGGTATGGGTGTCCCAGCGGGTCAGGTATCCGAGGTCTTGGAATTTGGGAGAGTGGTAGTCTCTGGGACATGGGATGTGGGAAGTCTAAGGAGTCAATAAGGGATCTAAAGTGTTGGTGATAGGTGACTTTTTTTATCATGGTAAAATACACAAATATAAAATTTACCATTTAAACCACTTTAAAGTGTGTAATTCAGTGACATGTAGTACATTTACAATGCTGTGCAAGCATCACTACAATCTAGTTCCAGAAAATTTTCATCACCCCAAAAAGAAACCATGTATCCATTAAGCAGTCACTTCCCATTCTTCCCACCCCTTCCCCAAACTCCTGGCATCCACTAATCTGCTTACTGTCTCTAGTCTCTAATGATTTGCCTATTCTGGATATTTCCTATAAATAGAATTACACAGTATATAGCATATTAACATAATGTCCTCAAAGTTCCTTCATGTTGTAGCATGCCTCAGTACTTCATTCCTTTTTATGGCTGAATAATATTCCACTGCATGGGTAATACCATCAGTTGGTGGACATTTGAGTTGTTGCCACCTTTTGGGTATTGTGAAATGTACTGCTATGAACATTCTTGTACAAGTTTATGTTTAAACACCTTATTCAGTTATTTTGGGTGTATACCTAGAAGTGAAATTGCTGAGTTATATGGTAATTCTATGATTAACTTATTAAGAAATAACCAAACTGTTTTGTGTTTTTTTTTGTTGTTGTTGTTTTTTTTTTTTTTTTTACAGTGGCTGTACCTTTTTATATTCCAACCAGCAATGCACAAGGGTTCCAGTTTCTTCACCACCTCGCCATCCATCATTTGTTATAATCATATGCCACATAATGATGTTTTGGTCAGTGAGGGACCACATATACAGTAGTTGTCCCATAAGATTATAGCAGAGCTGAAAATTTTCTTTTTATAAAATTGTATTATTATTATTTTTTCTTCCAACTCTTACGGAGGTGAAAAATTTCTACGGCCTAATGACATTTTGGTGATCCTGGCACTGCGTGTACCTATGCCAATGTGTTTGTGTCTTTGTTTTTAACAAAAAAGTTTTTAAGAAATAGAAAATTTCTGGAGGCTGAGGAAAGAGAATTGCTTGAACCCAGGAAGCGGAGGTTGCAGTGAGTTGAGATCACACCACTGCACTCCAGCCTGGGCGAGAGAGCAAGACTGTCTCAAAATAAAATAAAATAAAAATTTTTAAAAATTAAAAAAAATTATTTTAAGTAGAAGATTATAGAATAATGATATAAAGAAAATATTTGTGTACAGCTATACAATGTGTTTGAAGGTAATTTCTTACAAGAGAGTCAAAACATTTTTAAAAATTAAAAAGGTTTATAAAGTAAAGAAGTTATAGTAAGCTAAGGTTAATTTATTACCAAAGAAAAAATTCAAATAAATTTAGTGTAGCCTAAGCATACAGTACATATAAAGTCTACAGTAGTATACAGTACTGTACTAGCCTTCACATTCACTCGCTGACTCACCCGGAATAGCTTCCAGTCTTGCAAGCTCCATTCATGGTAAGTGCCAGATGCAGGTATACCATTTTTTATCTTTTATACCATATTTTTACTGTACCCTTTCTATGTTTAGACATATTTAGATACATGAATACCATTGAGTAGAATCACCTACGGTATCCAGGCAACTTGGATTTGTAGCCTGGAAGTGATAGGCTGTACCATATAGCATAGGTGTGTGCCAGGCTACATCACCTAGGTTTGCGTATGTACACTCTCTAATGTTCACATAATGATGAAGTCACCTAACCATGCATTACTCAGAAAGTATCCACATCATTACACAATGCATGACCATGTTTACATTCTGCTTTTTAAAAATATTAAATTAGGCTGGATGTGGTGGTTCACGCCTGCAATCCCAACACTTTAAGACACCAAGGCAGGCAGATCACTTGAGCCCAGGAGTTGGAGACCAGCCTGGGCAACATGGCAAAACCCCATCCCAACAAAAAAAGACAAAAAAATTACCTGGATGTGGTGATGTACACCTGTGGTCCCAACTACTGGGGAGTCTGGGGCAGGATGATTATCTGGGCCTGGAGAGGTGGAGGCTGCAGTGAGCCACAGCACTCCAGCCTGTGTGACAGAATGGGACCCTGTCTCGAAAAAAAGTCTTAAATTTGTGTATCTTAAGAATATACATTAATATAGACTAAAGAGTTTAAATATCAAATAAAGAAGGGTTTTTTTTTTCAGTTGAAACAATGTATCAGAGGATTAAAAAAACCATAAAATATTTGTTTAAATGTAAAGGATTTGTTTAATCTGCCCTATTAATTGAAATTTTCACAGTTAACTAGTACTATTTTTTATTTAAAAAATAGTATGTATGTAACAGAAAAGTAAAGATGTGAAGTGTTGATGCTGTTTTTCAGCAGCAGAAACTGGAAAACATGCAGCCTCATGATTGTCATACTCTTTCGCCAGATCATTGCGTTGTTTGCCCAGGCACCCCTCATCCCATCTCTCTCCATCCCTTTTCTTACCTTTTCATTTTCCTTGTCTTTTCATTGGAGCATTTACCAATGTCTGAAGGTAGAATGTTGTTGTTGATTGACTCTCTCTTCAACTAGAACGTAAGCTATAAGCGGCCCAGCCTTTGTCCCACACACTGCAGTGTGCCCCACTTCTAGGAAAGTGTCCAGCACACAGTAGGAACTCAGTCCGCATTTCTTGAATGAATTAAGTGAGGTATACAGGCCACATTCTGAGCTGCTGGAGAAGCCAGTAGTTGATTACCAAACTCTAGTCCTTTATCTTGATGTCCTAATGTCCTGACTGATACACTCAATTTGTAGGCAAATAGCTGGTGGGGTTTAGTAGTATGGGGTAGAATAAAGGGAGATGTAGTTGGAACCCTCTATCCACGTTATCTGCCCCATGAAAAGCTAGTTCCAGGCGTTGCCATCTCTGCCCCACACGGGGCTTGCGTTAGTCCTCGTTCCCGCCTTTTCCAGACAGCAGTGCTGAGAAGCAGGAGCCCCTGAGCTGGAGACGCAGGAATCCTGAGCCCTGGGAGGCCCAGATCGAAGGGAGGCAGTCAGCTCATGGAGCCGGGGAATGTTCTGCTGGAACCACCCCCCGCCGCGAGGGTATCCGGTATGTTTCTGGGCACCAGCGACCCCTCCACACCTCACCAGACCGGATCCCCAGCCCCGCGGGACCCGATTCCGGCCTACACCCTCCAATCCGGAACCAAATCAGAAGAGCAGTCCCGAGTGCCCGCCTCACGGTCTGAAGCACCTCGTCCTACACCCGGACCCGAACACGAGGTCGGCTCAAGGAGGCACTGAGGTCAGGACAGTCAGGCAGTCAGGATCCTGCGCCGCTTGTCGCATGCAGTCTCCTTCCCCGAACCGCCGCCTGCACGGCCTCCACTGTCTTCCTATTGGGCTGCAGCCTGCGAGGCCTGACAATGGCGGCCCACAAAGCTGGAACGCGAAAGCGCATGCGCCAGGCGCGATCTCCAGGCGCCAGCGCTGAGGCGGGGGCCGGGGGAGCTCACGTCACAGTGACCGCCGCCGTTGCCGGGGGACTGGCCCCAGCGGCTTGGCGGGGCAGAAGCCGTCTGTGGCAGTGCGTCCGCTCTCCGCCGGATAGTCGCCATGGTCCCCGCGATCCTAGTAGTCGGGCAGGGCCGAACCTGGCTGAAGAAACCTCAAGCGGAGATTCAAGGAGGCACCACGTGATCCCTAAGGATTCCCCAGGATGCGTCGGGCATGACTAGATGGTGTGGGGGTGTGTCTCCTTGACAGCTGTCCCGCGGGGATTTCGAGGTACGGCCTGTGTTTCCCAGGGCTGTTCTCTTCCCGGAAGGGCTTCCTGGCAGGGAGCAGAACCCCGCAGCTTCAGGAGCTGCTTGGCTGTGTGTGTTTCTGCGCGAGTGTTGGATGTCTGTGTGTGAGTGTGTGTGGTGTCCCGTGAAAGGAATGTGGCTCGAGCAGTGGAGCGCGGTTTCTCTGTAGTGCGCCTACTCTCTGATGCGCCCCTCTCTTTGGCCGGGCTTGGGTTGCGGGGCCAAGCGTTCTTTGTTTTGCTCTTGGTTCCTAAAGCCTCGGTGAAGTGGGGGTGCTGGCTGAGACCCGCAGGCGTCCAAATCACCTCCCCACCCCAAGGGGGCCACTCTTCCAGAAAGAAGACGGGCACACCACACCCAAGAACAAATTCCTCCGGGGGTCCATGGTCCTGTGGTGCACCCAAGGCTGAACGGACCCTAGCCGTCCTGTCCTCAGGACCCCCCCTTGAGCCCGCTTCTAATTCGGTGACTGGCGGAACCGGAGCTTCAGGACGTGAGGCGGGCACTCCTTCATCCTCTTCGGATTTCATTCTGGATTAAAGCATGTGTGCAGAAAAAAGGTCAGATGGGGGTGAGGATACAATCCGCTGAGCTGTGGAGGGGGTCTGGCACCTTCACCTGCAGAACAGGTGCAGAAAGATGTCAAAGAAACTGCTTCCAACACCATCCCCTTTTCCTCTTCAGTGTACAACCTTGTCCACACTATGGCGCTGTGCTGGCGACAGAAGACACGAATTTCAGAGATCCTTTAGACCGCAAACTGTGGCCTTTCTTGCCAGGTCCCCTGTTGGACCCTGGTTCCCCGAGCCACAAGGGAGTGGGATGGATTGATCCTGCCTGGGCTGCGGCCTCTACTCTGTCCTCCCTCTTTTCTTGCCTTCCCTGATGCTTGTGGGCCCAGGTTTTCCTTGGTCTGGCTCACAGTCCTCCAGAATGTCCTCCACAGCAAACGTTTCCCAGTTCGTCCAGGACCGCCTTGGCGGGGATGTACGTGATGAGTGTTTCCTTCTCAACACTCGCATTTCTTAATGACTGGATAGCTGTGACGCTCGTGGAACCGTGGGTGCCCGTAGCTTCCGCCAACAAGGAAACTCTTGGTCTCCCTGTTGCATCAGTTGGCTGCATGATTCACATAGGATGAGAGGTAGCCAGCCGTAGCTGGTCTTTGCCTTCTAATCAAGGCTATGTTTCATCTCATCTGCTGGTGTTTTCTCATTGTTGAGGGGTCTTCCATTGCTCTGTTCCTGGCTGGGACTGCCTCTCAGCACTGCACCTTTTGGTTGCCACGGATTTCACGGAGCAAAAGGGACTGGGGGTTTGCTGGGTGCAGGCCCGGTGGTGGGTTGTGATCCCGGTGTGGGAGTTGGGGTGGTTTGCAGTTTGCAGGATCCTCTTGGCTCCTCTGGCAGGAATCCCTGGACGAGGCTTGGACTCTGGCATAGGCCCTCCTGTGGTTCCAGGTGTGCTTTGTTTGTGCTTCGCTTTCTTGGGCGATCCTCAGTGGTCCTCGGCTGCATGCCTGGACATCCCTTTCAGGCTTGAATTCACCCCAAAAGGCCTCTGAGACACTCTCTCCACCTTATCTGCCCCCATGGGATGCCAGTTTCAGGTGTTGCCACCTCTGCTCCACATTGGGCTTGCCTTTGTTCTTGTTTCCGCCTTTTCTCCACAGCAGTGCTGAGAAGCAGGAGGCCCTGGGCTTGGAGACCAGGACAGGGCCCTGAGAGGCCCAGGTCGAAGTGGGGCAGTCAGCTCATGGGGTGGGGGAATGTCCTACTCACACCCTCCACTGGGGTCTCAGATATGTTTTGCTGCCCCAGTGACCCCTCCACTCCTCACCAGATTGGATCCCCAGCCCCATGGGACCCGATTCCTGCCCACACCGTCCAATCCGGAATCAAATTAGAGAGCAGTCCTGAGTGCCCACCTCACGGTCTGTAGTGCCTCCTCCTCCACCCAGACCCGAACACAAAGTGGGCTCAAGTAGGCACTGAGGTCAGGATTGTCGGGGTCCTGCGCTGCTGGTCTCACTCAGACTCCTTCCTCCGGCCGCCGCCTGCACGGCCTCCATCATTTTCCTATAGGGCTGTAGCCAGAGAGCCCGGACGCTGCTGCAGCGCCAGCCGGGCACGCGAATGCGCATGCGCCGTGGGCGCGTCACCAGGCGCGATCGCCGAGCCGGTGCTTTCGTCACAGTGACCGCCACCGTTGCCTGGGGACGGGTCGCAGCAGCTTGGCGGAGCAGGACCCCTCCGTGGCAGTAAGTTGGCGCTGGGCTGTGGCCCCTCCTCTCCGGGGGATCGTCGCCTTGGTCCCCCGGTCCTAGGAGTCCGGCAGAGCCAAACCAGGCTAAAGAAACCTCCAGCAGAGCTTCAAGGATGCACCGCGTGATCCCTATCGGATCTCCCCGATGCATCAGGCCTGCCCAGACAGTGTTGGGGGCGCGTCTCCTTGAATGCTGTCCCACCTGGGATTTCAAGGTATCACCTGCCTGTGTGTCCTGGGGCTGCTCTCTCCTGGGAGGAGCTGCCTGGCTGTGTGTGTTTCTGCGCAAGTGCTGCATGTCTCTGTGTGTGTTTTTCTGTGTGAGTGTGTGTGGTGTCTGGTGAAAGGAATGTGTCTCGTGCAGTGGAGCGCGGTTTCTCTGTAGTCCGCCTACTTTCTTACGCGCCCTCTTGTTGGTTCCAGGTGTGCTTTCCTTGTTTTTCGCTTTCTTGGGGGTCATTGATTTCAGCTGTAAGCTTAATTCCTTTTTTGAGTCTCACCTGTTTTGTTTAAGGAGGAACTTAAATCATTGGTGTGTATTTAAAAACATACGTTTCCCTCAAAGTGCTGCTTTAGTTGCATTCCACAAAATTTTATATGCTGTTTTTATTTTTGACTGCAAGTAGGTATTTTTTACTTGTCCCATAGTTTACTTAAATGTGTGTTGCTTAATTTGCAAACATTTTTGAATTTTGACATTAATTTCTGGCTTAATTCTACTGTGGTTAGAAAACAGATTTTCTAATTTCAATCCTTTTCAATATATTGACAATTTATGGCTCACAATATAAACAAGCTTGCTAAATGTTCTTTGTATAAGTGAAAACACTGCTTTCTGCTGCTCTTAGGTGGACTGTCTATAAATATCAATTACAACAAGCTGGTTATTAGCACCGTTCAAGTATCTTATATATTTACAGATTTTCTCTATACTTTTAAAAATTAATGAGAGAATAGTATTAAAATCTCAAAATATAATTTTGAATTTGTCCATTTATTTTTATTTCTAGCAGTTTTTATTGTTTAGTTCTGGTACTAGGCACAAATACTTGTATGATTGCTTTGTCTTCTTGGTCAATACGCTTCTATAGTATTGTAAAATATGCCTTTTTTTAGAAGAAAATCCCTGGTAATATTCCTTGTTTCAAAGACAATTTGTTGTGAGGGCTGGGTGCGGTGGGTCACACCTGTAATCCTAGCACTTTGGGAAGCTGAGTTGGTCGGATCACTTGGCGTCAGGAGTTTGAGATGAGTCTGGCCAATATGGTGAAACCCGATCTCTACCCAAAATACAAAATTAACCGGGTATGGTGGCGTGCATCGTCTGTAGTCCTAGGACAATCGCTTGAACTCGAGAGGTGGAGGTTGCAGTGAGCCAAGATGGCGCCACTGCACTCCAGCCTGGGCGACAGGGTGAGACTCTGGAAAAAAACAAAAGGCAATTTGTTTTATATTCACATAGCCATTTTGGTATAATTAGTGTTTGCATGGTTGTTTTTGTTTTTGTTTAACTTTTAACCTATTTGAGTTGGTATATACTTTTGACTTTTTAACCTGAGTCTTCATATTTTAATCTTTTTTTACATAACCTAACATCTTTTTTTTTTTTTGAGACAGAGTCTTGCCCTTGTCACCCAGGCTGGAGTGGAGTGGCATGATCTCAGCTCACTGCAACCTCTGCTTCCCGGGTTCAAGCGATTCTCCTGCCTCGGCCTCCCAGGTAGCTGGGATTACAGGCACCCGCCACCACGCCTGGCTAATTTTTGTATTTTTAGTAGAGATGGGGTTTCACCATGTTGGCCAGGCTGGTCTCAAACCCCTGACTTCAGGTGATCCGCCCACCTTGGCCTCCCAAAGTGCTGGTGAGATTACAGGCATGAGCCACTGCGCCCGGCTTTCTTCTGTGTTTTTTACTGAAGTATTTAGACCATTACCATTGTTTGTAATTATTGATATATTTGGGTTTGTAATAATCAACTTGCTCTTTATTCTGTTTATCTATCCTTCATTCTTTTTCTAATTTTCTGCCTATTTTTGTAGTTTTAAAAATTATATTCTATTTTACTTCTACTGGCTCATTGATTACAGCACTTTTTAGAATTTTGCATGCTTTTTTTATAGAGCCTTTCAACATTCATTTTTAACTTTCAATGTCTAGTTTTATGTATTATATCGTATCGTATATTTTGTTGGGGTCTTACACAAATAATACTTCCATTCCACCTTCTCACCTTTTGAGCCGTTTTCATATTTTAATTGCCACAAATATTACCATCCCTATAATACATTATTGCTTTTGCATTAAAAACTCAATTACTTTTTCAAGAGAATATGAGGAAAACAATATTTACCCATATTTAACTTTTCTGTTAATTTCCATTCCTACGTATGAAAACATGTTTCCATCTGCATCTGTTGGTGATGAATTCTCTCACAGTTCATTTCTTTTTTCATTTGAAACTATTATTTTAGGCTTGGGGAGTACACATACAGGTTTGTTACACTGGCAAAATGCATATCCCTGGGGTTTGGTGTACAAACGATTTTGCCACCCAGGTAGTGAGCATAGTAGCTGACAGTTTTTTGACCCTCACATTCCTGCTGCCCTCCACTCTCAAGCAGGCCCTGGTGTTTATTGTTCCAATCTTTGTGTCCATGTGTACTCAGTGTTTAGCTTCTACTTGTAAGTGAGAACATACAGTATTTGGGTTTCTGATACTGCATAAATTCACTTAATGGCCTCCAGCTGTGCCCATGTTGCTGCAAATAACACAATTTCTTTTTTCCCTGAGGCTTTAGCTTTCACTTGTTTACAAAAGTTTTCACTTTTTTCATATTATTACCAAGTGCAGAAATACCAGAGTTTCCCCTCTATTCCTTTCTCTGCTAGCTTGCATAGATTCTCACAAGAAGTTTATGAATCTTGTTACTTTTGTCCCCATGTATGTATCTTTTTTCCATCAGGCTGTTCTCAAGATTTTCCTTTACCACTAGTTTTCAGCAATTTGTGTTGTGTTTAGCCTTGAATTCTTTGAGCTTCTTAGGTCTATGGGTGATAGGTTCCAAGAAATTTGGAGTATTTTCAACCATTGTTTTTTCATATTTTTTCTGCCTTCTCCCCACTTCTAAGACTCACATTTACATATATCTTAAACTGCTTTATATTTTCCCACAGATCACTGAGACTCTCTTACAGTGTTTTTCCCTCTGTGCTTCATTTTTCCTGGTATGTTCTCAAATTCACTGATTTTTTTCTCCCAAAAATTGGTGTTTAATCTCCAATAAATTTTCTCTTCAGATATTTTTCTTTTCCAGAAGTCTCACTTTGTTCTTTTCTCTTCCATTTCTCTCACTGTGTACATGCTTAAAAAAAAAAAAACCTTCAGGATGCTGCAGTTTCTTTAATATTGTTATGCTAATACCATCTCCCCTGCCACTTGCATCTGGGCTGACATTTTTTCCTATTTGGGTCACATTTTCCCGCTTCTTTATATAGACACGGGGCATTGTAAAATTTACAGTTAAGTGGTAGATATTATTACACTTTTCTAACAATGTTGAACTTCATCTGTAGGCAAATACTTGTGAAGTGGCTTGATCCTTCTGAATTCTTTAAAAAGCAGTTTACAGAAGAGCTGAAGTCTTTACTTCAGAGATAGTTTAGCTCTGCTCCTAATGTGTGACCTTTCTGGGATTTCCACTGAATAGTGTGGGTGATCACTGGTCAGAATTAGAACCTTTCTTGGCCACATGTGAACTGTGGGCAGTTTCCAACTTGCAGCTCCCTGACTGCACTTAGTGCCCAGTCAGGTGGAGGAACTGCACTCTACACATGTACTATTTAATATTTTCAAAAGACGCCAGAAAAAATCCCTGTGCACATTTCTGAAAATCTTTTCTGTTTATCTCCTTCCTCTGCGGAACTCTGCCCTGTACCAGCTAGCATAGTCTCTCTGTTATCTTCTCAACACAGTAAGAACTTCACGTTGTTTGGGATCAGCTTTCTCATTATCCAGAATGTGTCTCCAAGTAGAAAGTTTGTGTGACTATTGCACAACTTCACTTTTATATATAGAGAGAGTTTCATTCTGTCACCCAGGCTGTAATGCAGTGGCATGATCACAGCTCACTGCAACCTTCACCTCCCTAAGGTCAGGTGATTCTCCCACCTCAGTCTCCCACGTAGCTGAGAATACAGGCATGCATCACCACACCTGGCTAATTTTTGTATTGTTTGTAGAAATGGGTTTTCACTATGAGTTGCCAAGGCTGGTCTCAAACTTCCATGCTCCAGTGATTGCCTTGGCCTCCCAAAATGCTGGGAACACAGGCATGAGCCACCACGCCTGGCCCACATGATTCTCTTCTGTCAGGGATCACAGTCCTTATACAAACCAATTATTCCATCATGGCTCCAACAGAAACTCATGTTATTTGACACTGGTGATGTCACTGGAAAGAAACTCTCACACATTACTGGTGAGAATGTAAACTGACATTTTCAAAAGTAATTGGGCATAATCTATTAAAATTTAAAATGCACACATACTTTTTACTTGGCAGTATAATCAGTTATAATATATTCTATATAAACAAAATCCAAGAATAAGCATATAAAGGTATTATTGCACTAGTTTGCAGAAACAGAAAACTCAACCTGAATACTCAGCTTACGGGGAATGGATAGAGTTTTCATGGCATTGCTGTTACTAGGTTGCTACATGTAATTCTGCAGACATTTTGAAAAAGAAAAGCAAGGTGCACAAGACAAATACCAATAAAATGTAATGTACAGACCTTATTTATATCTGGACTCAAACCAACTATTATTGTGAAAGGTTGACTTCTCTGTTCAAGATATATACTGAAAATATAACCAGTATATAGCATACTGGTTGTCTTTAATATATCCCAGTGAAAACTTATTGGGAGATAAAACAAGAAAGGCAAAAAATAGTGTGATTATTAAAGAGGTTATGGGTACATGGTACTATTTTATTTTTGCCTATATTTAAAATTTTCTAAAGTTAAAACAAATTAAAGTGACAGATATATTTGCAGTTATCCTATTATAGTATACTGTTACCAGACTGAAATGAGGCCCATACTTGAGCACAGAAGAAAACATCAAAAAATAAACACTAAAGTTTTAACAGATGAGTGCAATACAGTGAAGGTGGTTTTTAAAAAAAATTTTAGCTGGGCGTGATGACTC